TTTGTTTTGTGTGTGGTTAGTTTATTATGTAAGTGTTAAATCAGATAAATATAGATACTTAAAAAAATTCCTACCAGTGGTCCAGAGTTAACTGTTATGCAAAATGGTTTCACTTATGCCAGCAATTAGAACTGCCTGCCAGTCTGCAGGTAGCATATAGAATTTACCTTATGGAAAACTTCCATATACTAACAAAAGTATCATTGTGCCCTTTTATAAAACCATGTTGCATCTACACATTGAATACTGTACCGTTTTGGTCCCCACACCTCATAAAGGATATACAAGAACTAGAGGAGGTACAGAAAAAGGGGAACGAGGATGATTAGTGATATGCAGGGGCTTCCACATGAGGAGAGGCTGAAGAGGCCAGGCATATTCAATTTAGAAGAGACATGCTTGAGGGGGGACACTATAAGGGTTTACACAAAACTAAATGGCAAAGAGAAAGTAAATAGGGATTTATTATTTGCTTTCTCTTACAATACAGAAACAAGGGGTCACAAAATGAAACTAGAAGATAGTAAGTTTTAAAAGTAACAAAAGGAAATTCTGTTTCTCACAGTGTGTAATTCAAGTGTGGAACTCATTGCCACCAGATGTTGTGGAAGCTGACAGTTTAGCTAGATCCAAAAACGGATTGGACAAATTCTTGGAGGAAAGGGGCATCAGTTGCTATTGATCATGGGAGTTAGGGATACAGCCTCTGTATCAGAACTTCCTAGACCTTAGAAGTGAGAGAGAAACAGTGGAAAAAATCTTGGTCATACTCAGTTCACTGTGCCTTTCAGCATCCACTCTCTGCCACAGTGGGCTCATTGACACGAGACACTATGTCGCTGTAGCAGCAAGCTATGGTGACCAATAATGTAGCGTCAGTGGGCACTAACCATGATGCCCCCACTACTGCGCAGTAGGGTCGAAAACAACCGTGTGTTGCTGGGACTGTGCAGTACCGGCAACTTTAGTACTTGTAAGTACTAAATAATAACTGCACAGTACCAACTGTGCATTCAGGGGCACATGTAGGTGTGCCCTGTGTGACACAGGATGCTGCACAAGATGGACTTATGGTCTGACTCAGTAAATGGAAGTTCTTATATTCTTAAAAGAAGTAATCAATTTATCCCAACGTTTTCAATACAACCTTAAAGCTGGGCTCCTAGGGCATTTTTACATGTGTTGCCTGACACGGCGCTGAGCGCTTTCCTTGGTGAGCCACACTAATTAAAAGTGCCCACATGTCACATAGATCAGCATTACCATGTATCCCTGCACTGAAGAAATGGTGGTGTGGCACTTTGAGCTAAAGCTCATTGGGTGTGTTTTATTTCAGATCACCCCACTCGTTATCTTGTCAGCGTGGCGATGTGCAGCGCCTTTGCTCAGTGGAGTCTGCTTCAACGTGATGGATTTCCAGTGCATCAGAGCAGGCTCCCTGCATGTGTATAGGAGCCCTTTGTCCTTATTTAGTAGTCCATAAAAGTAGTCTAGAGTACTCTTCTCACTGCCATCAGAATCAATGAAATCTGAAAGGGTTCAGCACCTTGAAAACTGGGCTATTTATTGATTTAGATATTAATATGGCTTAGTCACATGGGCTTGAAAAGAATTGGTCTTAGTGTAGTCTGGTTCTTTAGATTCTACATTACATAATAATTATGTATTCATAACATATAATCAAAGTCAAAGGTCTGATCAAGTACAGCAGTTCACTGGGCTAATAGTGTGAAGGTACTGTAACCCCGATCGATTGTGAGCATAACTGTGAGATAGTCAGGTGGGTGAGAAACTGGCTGCAGGATACAACGCTGAGAGTCACAGCGACTGGATCTGTGTCATCCTAGCAAGAAGTGGGCAGCGGTGTCCCACAGGGGTCAGTGCTCAGTGTAGTACTTGTCAACATCTTTATTAATGGAAAGGCTAAGGGATCTGGAGCTCTTCAGCCTGAAGAAAAGAAAGCTGAGAGGGGACCTGGTAGCAGCTTACTGCTCCGCTAGGGGAATACATCAAGGGCTCGGTGAGCAACTGTTCACCAGGGCACCCGAGGGGAAACCCAGGAGTAATGGGCACAAAGTCGTGGAAGATTGATTCAGACTGTCTACTACCTCATAGTAGAGGTACTAAACTTAATGCCCAGTGGCAAAGGTGAATTAATGAATGTGTAGAAGCACCCACTGAAAAAGCAATTTAATACCAGTATAGCTACAACTTTTATGTGTGCACAAGCCCTTAGGCAGCTTCTAGGTTCCATTAGCCTCTGTGATTTACTTTACCAGAACTATCCAGCTCACCCCAATCAGATATTTTCATTACCTGCAGTACATGCAAAGTGAGGCTGAAAATGCTGCTAATTAAGACATGTTTGGACACATTTAAAATAATGCTACTGATATCTTTCTTCCTGTTTTAGATATCCCTTCTTATCTTTGCTTGCAGTGCACTCAGGCAGGTACAGACATTCAAAAAGCCCAAGGTGGAATTGCTCTAAGTTGCACAGTTTTTTGTGAGTGGCATAGTTTAGATTGGTAGCAAACAGAACACACATTCACCCTTTAGTGGTGGGGCAAATCTTAGACTGGATTTCACCATTTTTAACCCAGTCTGTGTGCACCTAACTCCTGTTATGGGTATAAACCAGTTTCCAATCACTTATACTGGTAAAAGTATGATGTGCATACCTGACCTCAAAGACATGTACCATGTAGTGGATGAGCAAAGATCAAATGGATAAAAAAAAACCCAGACACACACACAAATTACCTGAGTTAAAAAGATCAGTTGCAGAAAAATAAATATCTCACCTGGATGGACTATCAGACTTTTAAATTGAAGTCTGAGAGTAAAGGTAACAATAAGACATCTATGCATATGCAAAATGCTTAGGAGATGAAATACTAAATCTTGGAGCAAAATATTTGAAACTTGGACTGAGTTAGGTATATACAGAATGGATCCTCCCTGTTTCCAAAAGGATGATGATTGCTATTTAAGAATATATGAGTGACATAGGCTAACTCTCACAAGGCTAATTATTAATAAGTAGCACAAAGCTCCATGCACAAAAATAGTTTAACAAACATATATATGATAAATACTTAAGGGTTTAATTGAAATGAAATTACAATAGTCAACCATTTCTCTGTACAGCCCACAGATCCCCTCAATTATATAAAACACTATGCATTCTTTATACATGATAGAATAGGGACAAGAACCACTATGTGAAGGGATCAAGCAATTAAGATCATTAATATTAACAGATATGGCTAATAAGGTCCCAACAGTGATAGCTGGAAAGGTCCTGATAGATCATCATGGACACATTTTGAATTTCTAAAGCTGTCCTGAAGAAGCAGAAAAAGAAAGAGAAAGAGGAGATACATTTCATTAGTGCAAATAAATGTAAGGCAAGTTAAGAGATCTTAATTATGTTCTCAGTTCTGTTACTGATCTGCTGTGACTTTTGCCCACTTACCTCTCAGTGTTTCAGTTTCTTAATCTGTTAAAAGGGAGTAAGCAAGCTTGCCTACCTTAAATTGGTGCCTTGACATTTAATAAGGATGCTTAAGAAATCACGTGCAAGTCACAGCTGAAATGAACGAGATAATTATTTTACCTGCATGCAATAAATGAGTATTTTGACAGGATGGTTCATGTCTATCTGTCCATTTTTCTCTGAGCTATTTCCTAGGAAAGTCAAATATAACAATTCTAAATGGACAGAAGAGGAAATATGTTAATAAAATATGATATGATCTGATGATGATGTCTAGTGCACAAACTTGTGTGGAATGTGGCAAGACATGAATATGATATGACAGTGAGGGAAAAACAATCAACATGCTCCAAGTTTAACATCTTTACCAATGATGTGGACATTGGTGTCAGAAACGCACTGGTTAAGTTTGCCAATGACACTAAACTTTGGGGCATAGTGTCCACACCTGAGGACAGGATAAACTTAGTAAATGGGCAGATACAAACCTGATGACATTCAATACTGATAAATGTATGGTACTCCACCTCAAGGAAAAAAACCCTGCAGCATACTTATAGGCTCAGCAGTGCTATGCTTGCTAGCACCACTGCTGGAAGAGACTTGGGGGTCATGACTGACCACAAGATGAACATGAGCCACCAATGTGATGTCACAGCTGGTAAAGCAAACAAAACTCTGGCTTCCATCCATAGATGCTTCTCAAGTAAATCTCAGGATGTCATCCTCCTGCTGTACTCGGTCTTAGTGAGGGTGCAGCTGGAGTACTGTATCCAATTCTGCGCTCCACAATTCAAGAAGGACATGGAGAAGCTTAAGAGAGTCCAGAGAAGAGCCACGTGCATGATCAGAGGGCAAGAGAATAGGCCTTACGAAGAGAGGCTGAGAGCCATGGGACTCTTCAGCCTGGAAAAGTGCAGGCTCAGAGTGGGATCTGGTGGCTGCTTATAAGTACATAAGGGATGTACATCAGGACCTGGGAAAATATCTGTTCACCAGAGCGTCCCAAGGAAAAACAAGGATCAATGGACATAAACTCCTTCAAGTCTGTTTTAGTCTGGACATAAGGAAAAATGTTTTTACTGTCCGAGCCCCCACGACCTGGAATAGACTCCCTCCAGAAGTGGTGTAGCCACCTACTCTGGACTCATTCAAGAAACGTTTAGATACTTATTTGGATGGGATCCTTTGACACCAGCTGACTTCCTGCCCCTGGGGCAGGGCTGGACTTGATGATCTTTGAGGTCCCTTACAGCCCTAACATCTTTGAAATCTATGAAGTTGGCTCCATAAAATTAAATTGGCTGTAGCTATTACACATCATATTAGATAGGTTGGATTTCCATGGCCAATCAAATAGTGACTCCCATTTGCTATTTGAAAATCTGTTGTTGGATTGCAGCATCTTTATCAAAGGATAACCAAAGTTTTAGCTACTATCAGTAAATTAAAGCTCTTTCTGACTGCTTGTATTCTAGAGGCTTTCCTTATATTTTTACAGGGGAATTGCCAAGGCATGGAGCCAAGCTTATTTTGGAGAAGGTTCAGGCCCTGTGCTGCTGGATGAAGTGCGTTGTACAGGGAATGAGCTGTCAATAGAACAGTGCCCAAAGAGCTCCTGGCAAGAACACAACTGTGGCCACAAAGAAGACGCTGGTGTTTCCTGCATACCTCTTACAGGTAGTTGAGTCAGCAGGTGTCATGCTAGGAGACAGTGACAAACCCAGAACTGAGAGACTTTGGAAAAGAAATATTTTAGAATGCTTGTTGCTCTGCAGCCAAGAGGTGGAAAAGTTGTGCTATCCCTCTCTCAGGAACAGCTGCATGCACATACAAAACTGTTAGGACAGAAGGTTTTTATTCAGTGTGCCAAGGTTCTTTGGGTGAATCTGATATCTTTTATTAGACCAACTAAATAGTTGGAGAACAATTTTTAAGCAAGCTTTCAGGTTCAAAAATCCTTTGTTGGGCTAAGGAAGTTTCAGCAGTTGATGTCTGCTCTTCCTGGATGGAATGAAAAGTAAAAAAG